ACTGAGCACCCAGTAGGCACTTGGCCCTCTTTACTGCTCTGTTCCTAGCACTTGACTCAGGCAGATGAAAATCTTAGACCTCACAGAGCTGGTGTCTAGTGGCGGAGAGACAAGATAACTGAGTACAGCACATAATGTGCTAGTGACAAGTGCTGAGGAAAAAAAAACATGAGTCAGGGACAAAGGGTAAGAAGTGTCAGAGGTGCTGACAGTTTTGATTAGGGGAGCAGGGAAGGCTTCACTGAGAAGGTAACGTGAGGAAAACTGGAAGTGAGGCATGAACCATAAGGATATCTAGAGGAAGGACTTTCCAGGTAGAGAGAACAGGAAATCTGACCACAGGGTGGGAGCAAATCAGTGTTCCAGCAACACAGAGGGGCTGGTGTGGCCCAAGGGGAGGGGCAGCGGTGGGGGCGCGAGAGGTGAGCCCGCAGAGTTTCTGGGGCTGGCAGGCCTCAGGAGGACTTGGCTTTTGCCTCCTTGTACTGGGGACCCGCTGAGGAGGATGCGCGCACAGGAGGGCTCTGACTTCACAATTTGAAAGGCTCCCTCTGACAAGTGGAGAACCGGCTGTGAGGGGGTGGGTGGGCGCAGGGAGACCAGTGAGAGGACGTCGCTGTCATCCAGGCCAGAGGTGATGGGGCTTGGACCAGGATGGTGACAGCGAGGGTGGAACAAAAGGGTTGGATTCTGGAGGTGCCTTGAGAGTAGACCCAACCGGACCTGCGGGCAGATGGAAAGTGTGGTGTGGGAGGAAGAAGACAAGGATGACGCCAGAGCTCCTCGCCTGCTCGATGAAGGCAGTGACGTTGTGGTTCACTGAAACGGGGAAAGCTGCAGGAGGAAAAGGTGGGGAGGTGAGGCTATCTGGTTATGGACGTGTCAGCGTTTGCATGCCAGTTAGACATCCAAGTAGAGATGAGGCAAATTTTTTTTTTAGAAAATTGATGCCCTCAGATCTTAACTCCCCACTCATTAGCTTGCCACCTGGTTCCCCTTTATGTGGCTGTCACCTGTGGTGGCAAGCAACGGACTGCCTGTGGAACTGGCTTAGCTGGAGAAGGTGAGCTCCCACCAGAGCTCATTTCGCTGTCTTACTTTACCAAGTCTATGGCTGTATTTCAGCAACCAGGCAGCCACATGTGAATGGGGTGGGGGGAGTGGAGTCCAAAAAATCCAGATGCATAGCTAAAAGCAGTTGGATTGGTTGGATACCCTCCTTCAGATCAAGCTGCTTTGTGTCACGGAGATACACAGATTTCACTTAATGCTGTTGGGCTCCCCGGGTTCATTTCTGAAGCAGAGCCTAACATCGTAGTGGGCAGGGGTGGTGCTCCAAAGATGAGGCCTTCACCTGGTACTGCGTCCCCTCTGGTGGGGACGCTTTTCTGTGCTGGGCCCTCTGGCTGGGTCTTTTTGCCTTGGGGAGAGGCTGGTGGGAGGCGCCTTCTCAGGGAGAGTGAGGATGAAGTACTTTGGTTTGGTTTGGTTTGGTTTCTCTGAGTCCAGATGTGCCCCGGATCAGATGAGAGGGGGAGTGTTACAGCCCCAAGGGAAGGACTGCTGGCGATCGGTGGGAGGGCTTTTACCCTCTCCATCTCCGCTGGAGAGTGCATTTCTTCCCACTGCTGCCGATGACTTGTTTTATATAAAGGAGCTTTAGGTGTAGAAATAAGACACAGGAAAGGGTCTTGCTGCTGTTGTGGCTGAAAGTATTTGTTGAAGAAACACATACACAAATGCTACAAGGTTATCAAGCAGCTAAACTTCAGCACATCATTTCCCTGAAAATTTTTGGTAATCTGATCAATTCATGCTGCTGCTTTTTTTGCTTGTTTTTATTTGCATTCTTTTTTATTGAGGTGTAGTCAGTTTACAATGTTGTGTCAACTTCTGGTGTACAGAATAATGTTTCAGTCATACATGAACATCCATAGGTTCACTTTCATATTCTTTTTCACTATAGATTACTATAAGATATTAAGTATAGTTCCCTGTGCTATACAGTAGAAACATGTTATCTATTTTATATACATTAGTTACCATCTTGTGCAGCCTCTTTTTGCTTATAGTCGGGGAAAGCACAGAAGGAAATATTTTTACCTTTGTCTTGGAACCCCCTTATCTGTGGCTTTGAATCTTTATTGTACCTTGGCCAGCCCATCACCAGCCCCTGCCCTGTGCAGTCTCTCTAGAAAGATAAGGCCCTTTCTGTTGGCAGCCTTCTGCTGTCTTTTGGGGCATCAGTCAGTCAAGCGGAGTCAGTTAACTCTGCTGAAGCCCAGGCACTCCCGCCTGCACCGGCCCCCTCCGGTCCTCCCCGCAGGGCTCAGCGTGCCGCTGCAGGCTCTGTGCCTTTCCATGGTCCAGCTTGGAAGACTGTGTGCTTCCCTTACTGAAAGAATCCATATAACAAAGTCCATCCCCCCTCCCCCACCAAAGAAATCTGTGTTGGATTTGACAAGGAAAAAATAGTGATTCTTTTTCTCATTCACCACCTTCGTCCTTTTTTCTACAACTCTGCCTCTTCGTCATGTGTTCAGCAAAACGTATGATCTGCTGTTTGCTGAAACGCTGCCTTGGAGAGTGAGGGGGAGGGCACGGTGCCCAGTCCTTGCCCTCAAGGAGCTGGCTTTCTGGTAGGAGAGACAGCCACAGAAACGTCCAGAGAAATTCCAGGTTACAAGACGAGCGTTCATTTTGCTCCAGACACCCTGCTAGATGCTGTGCAGATCAAGCCGAGGAGTTCCATTCCCTGCTCTGCTTACTCCGCTTTGCTGGTTCTCTGGAAAGATGTTTTCTAGAGGATGTTAGCGAGTGTGCACCG